GCAAAATGTAATGTCTGACTCAGGAAGCAATAAGTAGAGCAAATGTATCTGAAGCAATATAAAATTCAATTTATTTTTCTTCCATGATTCTTAGTCTGAAAGTATTCACTCTTGGACAAATCAAACTGTTAACGGAAGAATGAATCTGGCTTAAATGAAGCTCTCTGTGCTTTTCAATATTAATTGCGCACAGAGAGCTCAGTTACAAAACAAAAAGTTAAACTGCATGCTATTGGAGTGAGTTCCTTGGGGAAGTTTCTCTGAGGTTCGCAAGACGCGTATGTTGGAGATGCAGCACCCGGGGTCTTATGTCATTCCTTGAAAACACTCAGGCAGCAGGGAGTTAATGACATTTTAGCTGCATATGTTCAAGTTTATTTAAAAAAATATGCAAGTCACTTTGGTTGACAGTGTCTTGTACACAGTTTTGAAAGAATCAGGGCAAACTTTAACAGAGTCAGTTTTTATTTGAAAAATATTTTCTGGGAATGTATCAGTGTTTATTTTTGAGACTGACAATTCGGGTGAAAATCAGGATAAAAACAAAAAAACAACAATTTGGTTGAAATCAAATTGTTTGTTTTCATCTATTTAGAATTCTTTCCAAAAAATCTTGGTTCCGGAGGAGGCTTTTTAATTTATTTTATTCAGTGTATTTGCTATTCTATTCAAGCACCATCTGTCTTGCAGGTAGCTAACTTGTGGAAGCTCCTAAGTCAGCTGGGCGAAGCCCCCAGGGCTCCAGGAAGGACCACAGCAAACTGGGTGACCACCTCCAGGTCCCCACTTGGGTGACCCACGCCAGCGGCAGGCTCCCTCCTCAGCTGGGCCCAGCCCGCCCGCCCGCACCGGGGCTGCCACGTTTCTAGGGGTCCCTCCTCCCTTTGCTTCCGGTCACAACAGGCCTCTCCTCCCTGCGCCCTGATCTGCGTCCCTGCTTCCCGTGCTTGTTTTCGCTCCCTTCTATGAGTCCTATGGTGTCATGAGATAATGTCGATGATCCTGAATATAATCACATATGGCTGCTGGATCCATGCACAAGTTTAAATCAAATTAGAAAGTAAATTCACTGCCAAGAATGCTTAAAAGTCATAGGGCCAACTGATTAACCACTGACAAGTCAGTTTCAGACTCTGTTTTCTAAACTGTAAGTGATTCATACGAAAGGACTGAAAGGGACTCACTCTCCAGACTGAATGCCGAGGACCAAACAACAGCCTGCTGAGCTCACCAGCTATCAGAAAACGCGAGTCAGTTGAAAGCATGTTCATTAGCAAATAAGTATACAGACACATAAAATTATCTTGATGGTTAAGGTAATCCTCTCAGTGGACAGCTAATTCCTGTTTCTCCCTCTCCCAGATGCCGTTTTCCCCAAGACGAGGCTCGTGTTTCCTCACCAGCTGGCTGCACCCTTCCTGGCCAGATGTTAGAGCCTCCGGGCTCCAGGCTGCAGACCCCTGACCTGCTCCAAGCTGTCAGGCCTTGCCCAGACTCCCCTGGGACCCACGCCCCTCGCCCCGGATGCCACCCCCATGCCACTGCTACCGAGGTTTCAGCCTCCCCCAGCCAAGGCCTGCCCCCCAAGAAGAGGGGGGAGCGCTACTGCCTGGTCCAGGCCTCAAACAACAGGCAGGTGACAAGTCTGTCTGTGGACGCACGGTACCTGCACAGAGAAGAGAGGAGAACTGTGTCTGGCCCGAGCTGCATAGTGCTTCAGTGTCCCCATTTCTCCACAAGGACCAGCATAGCCATGTCATGACACTTAGAAAGCCATTTTCTAGAGTGAGGCAGGAGACTGACAAAGCCGTTGTTTTTAGTGAGTCCTAAACTAAACACGAGCCAAGAAACAAACCTGGGGCTTAGCGGTCAGCGCCCCGGAGCCTGGGTTCACGGCACCACGGCCCAGTGCGGGGACGATGGGGATTCTCACTGCAACATGGCCACCATGGCACAGTTACCATCATGATTAGCTCCCTCTGCCAGACATGCTGTGCATGTTTCAGAATTTAAGCAGAAACAATTTAGAATAATAAAGCCTTCTGAACAGGCTAGATGGCCATAGGCCAACCCCGAGCCCCAGCATCCGTCACCTACTTTAGGGCACCAGGCCTCAGAACACGGGAGCAAACCAAAGGGATATGACTCAGCTCAGAACAGCTGCCTGGACCAGAAAATATCCATTCTCTTTTGGGTATTAAGTAGACAGAGATTTTTAGAGTTTGATATGAAATAAGTTATGCTTAATTCATCCAGGCTGAGAAAAATGGAAGCCTTTAGCTAAACCATCCCTAAACCGGAGATGAAGGCAGCTCGCATCCTCGGATGCCCATGAGCTGGGCCCAGAAGACTCTGTCCAGGACAGAGAGGGTAGCTGATCACTCTGGAACCCTCAGGAGGCAGCATCCTCCAAAATACCTGCTCAGGGTCAAAAGCAGCCTTACTCACTTCAAGGGCTCAGCTGAAGCTGCCTAACTCACAGGTCAAGTTTATTCCACAGCAAAAACACATCGCATAGGTCCAAGTCCACTGAGAGCCCCTACCTAGAGGCTAAGGCAACACTTAGGAAGAAAGAGCAGGCTCTCGGTTTAGACATTCAGCAGGGAGCTTGCAAAACTGGATCCCTGCCTCCTCCGTGACCACTAGTACTTGCTACTGAAGGCCAACATTTCCTCTACCAAATTTCTTTTGTCATGTTCGTATTAAAATAACTCCAAGTGTAATATTTGAATCTGAAAGGCCTCTTTAGAGACAAGCCAGATGGGCCAGTATCAGATAGCATAGGTTGGGCAAATCATTTCTATTGCTTCAGGCGAGGGAAGAAAGACCCGCTAGTTTTTCTAAGGATTTTTTGAGGTTTGGGGCTTTTTAATTCATTTTGTGAAAATTTTGCAATTCATTTGGCAATTACCGGAGTTTTAAAAGCCTGGAAGAGGCTTCTAAGCATCGATGGCCCATGTTAGGATCTGAGTGTGCCGTAGAGGAAGCAGATGGGGAGTTAAAAGGCAAAGCCCACAGTGTAATGATCCAGTTGAGAGCTCAGAGGAAAGTGCCATGTGCGCTGTGCTTCCATAGAAGACTCTCCACCACCCGAGTTCTGAAGGAGTTCTTGGGTTGAGAGGCCAAAAGATCACTCATGCCATGAAGTCACGGCCTCTCCATCAGATGTGGCAGGAGCACAGTCACCTGCAGGAGGCCTGCCGGCCCCAGAGGCCCCAACCTTTGGCTGGCCAGGCCTAAAGCTGGCCAGCTCCCTGGCTGCCCTCCCTGCACAGCTGGGTTCCTGCCTGGGTCGGGTGGAGCATGAGGGACTCATCCAAGAAGCAGGGCGGAGAGGAGCGAAGCTGGTCCTATGGCTGCTGCCTTCCCTATGTTTCTCTCTAGGCAGTCACCTCCCAGGTCCACTTTAAGATGAAGGGAGAAAGGAAAAGAAAAACGCCATTTCTTCAGCCTACTACGTTATGTGCCTGAGGACCTGCCAAGCACCTCACGGCTGCACTCATTTATGCTTCCAATATCCCTTTGATTTAGGCGAGCAAAAGTCCCATTGTGCAGATGGAGAAACTGAGGCTGAGAAGAGACGTAAGTGACTTGTCCAAGGCTTCACCACAGTGACATGGCCTGGAATCATTTGCTGTTCCTTCTGACCCCAAACACGCAGGAGGTTCTTAAACTTCATTGTCCTCCAGAATCACCCCACAGCTTGTGGAAAGGCAAGTTCCTGGGCCCTGCTCCCACACACTGCCCTGGAACGTGCAGTGAGGCCCTGACATCCCAGATGACCGTGTCCATGTGGTACGTGGTGCTCCCCGCCTTCCCTGTGAGTGGTCTCAGAAGCACATGGAGACAGTAGAGGCAGGTCTCCATCTCCAGCCTTAGCTCAGTGACAGCACCCAGTTGTGCTCACTTACTATTTGGGGAAAAAAAATGATGTTTTGCAGAGGGATTTGGTGGGCTGAGTGGGAAAAGCCAGTATTTATAGGTTCCTTGATAACCCTTCAGCACAGGGTCATTTTCAAAGGAGAAGGAGAGACAATTCTTCTCCATTTTCATTTCCAGATGCATCTTTCCTATTAATCATTCCAAGCACTTATGGCATGAAGTCCCCCGGGCACTCACGGAGCACCTGGGTGCAAACCTAATTAAAGACGGAGGCCACGGCCAGCCACGAACCACCTCATTATCCTAACAAATTGCTTGATGGGGCAAAAAGCACAGCCTCTCTAACAGGAAGTGAAGCAATTTAGAATAAAAGGTTCCATCCCATACTGCAAACTCACCTGTATGCTTTCTTTCCTGCATTATCCCTGCTGGTGGCCCCAGATCTAACCCGGGAAAGCCTGGGCTATGGAGTCAGACTTAGGTTTCATTTGAGGTGTCCCGTCCTTGGTAACTATATACACTTGTTTAAGCCTCAGCTTCCCTATCTGTAAATTGGAGATAATAATGTGAATCTTGCCAGCTTGTTCAAGGGTAAAGAAGTTTAACACTGCCAAGCGCTCTGCAAGCACTCCAGATACTTGCCCAATTATCAGTCAGCTAATTTAGGACAAGATTCCTGCATTCCATTCAGTGGGACTTCACCGGGAACACCTGTTTCCTTAACCAATTCAAACCATACACAGCCTTCCCAGGAAGTTCAAGGCTGCCCTCCTCCAAAAAGCCTGCCCTGACTACTGCCATCCTCCCTCCTCTGGCTCCCTCAGCAATGCAGCTGCACGGTGGGGGCCAGCACTCAGTATGACTTGTGGACTCAGAGGAATGGGTCAGTTCAGCTGCGTGGACTTAAGCTCCATCATGAGGACAGGCCCACAGCTCACATTCTCTCACGCCCCACTGTGCCTGGCACAGTCTTCGGGATCTCCCTCCCAGCTTATTGGCTGGCCAATGTGATCAGCAGAAATTTTAGCCTGTTAAGATACCCAAAAAAGACCCATGTGCAGAGTGCCAAGTGTCCTCTGTGGGCGCAGCCTGCCCTTGCACTAGGTTTTGCACAGTACCTGGGTTCGCAGACGGTCCACCTCTTCCGACAGGCTCTGTCTTTCCAGGAGAAGCTCGTTCTGCTTGTTGAGGAGCTGCACCAGCTGCTGGGCCGTGGCCTGGCTGTGTTTATCCAGCTGCCTTAGCCTGCAGAAAAACCCACCGCAGCATCAGAGATGGGGCCTGGGAAGTGGGGGCTGCAGAGAGCAGAGGGGACAATAGCAGACTTCAGCCTTTCAACCTGCTCCATTGCTCTGTGTACCTGAGGGCAGCTCCCAAAAGTGAACTATGAACTGGAAGTCTAGGGTGGCCCTGAGGTGCAAGGCTCTGGCTAGCAGCGGGCCCTTGGTAAGCATCTGTGAAGGTGACCGGCACTGCATCAAGCGTGTATGGGAACTGGGAGCCTTCTCAGTACCCTGCCAGTTAGAAAACATGCAGATAAGTTGGGTAAGAGAAGAAAAACTGAAACCTTAAACTCACCAGCAGAGGTCAAAGACAAGGGGCCTAAATGCCTCCATTGTTCAGCTGGAACCATCTCTGGCAGGCCAAGCAGACGGCCGGCCCTGGCTGGGGAAGTGGGTAAGGGACATGGAAACACTGAACTAAGGGTTTTCCATTATTAATCACTCAGTCAATCACGAGCTCTGGCATCGCTGACCAGATGTCTTTAAAGATCCTAAATTTGTCATTCTGCTGATGGGCCCTCCTCTACAGACTTGCTAATTCACTCAAACTATTATCCTCATCTGTCCACAGTCGGCTTCCTACAGCCAGTAGCACACTCACCGGGTAGAAATGTTGGTTTTGGATTAAATTTAGAGTCGGACTACCCAGAACTGTTCTGGGAAAAAAAGTTAGATGTGTGCCCTTCCTCACCATCCTCACCGACCAAAAGCACCAACAGCAAATTAACTCACATTCTCACCAGAAAAAAATTTTAGAAGCTCAAGGTGCATTTCAAACTCCCGGCTACGGCGTCAAAAGCCTTGCAGACACCAGCCTTGGGATGCCCTGAGCTGAAGCTCTCCTGGGTGGCATTTCTGACGAGCTCTGAGCACAGTCAAACATTTATTAATACAGGGCCAAAGATTCGGGCCTTAAGGCTGGGGCACGTTGCTTTACAAAAAAATGACGCAGCATTTGGGCACTGGTAAAACTGCACTGTGGGAAACTTAGCAATATTCTAGTACTTTCCTCACACTTCCCCCTCCCCATACTCCTCTGCAAGGCACAGCCGTGTTCATTGCCCAGACTGCTCCTCCTGCCTTCTCCCACCGGCCTCTTTCTGCCTCCGATGGATCTGGCTGGAGTCTGCTCAAGGGGCCCAAGCCCTAGTCCCATCCTCACCTCAGAACACTCCGTGGGCTCCCTGTTTGCAGTCACACGCAGCGTACTGCCACTCTTGCAGGGGCAAAGCGCGGGGACTCACGCCTAAGCGGAGGTGGAGCCGGCACTGCGCATGCTCACACGGTCCGCCCTGCCCCTTGGGTTGGCCGCCCCGTCTGACGACGCCCCCCACGCCTGCCCACGGCCTCTGCTTCCTGCTGGTTCTGGACAAAGTGGAAGGACTTAAGCGCACGGCCTAGATCCAGTTTCCATGGCCCTGCCCGGCCTCCTGGTTCAGGCCGGGGATGAACAGGTCAGCAAAGATCTCCCACCCAAGTGCGAGTGTCTTCCTGGTCTGTGCCGTATACATAAGAATGATGCTCCTCCACCCCACCTCCCCATCCTTCCTCTGATCTTGGAGGAAAAAGAAGTTTCCTTATGCTTTGGGAAGCCTCATCTGCCCTCACCCCACCTCCATCACTCTGATACTTGAGGCCAATTTTTCCTGAGTGCTAGTCTCAAAGCCACCCCACTGGGGGCAGGCCAAACAAGCTTTCCTGCAGGGAGCAGCGGGAGAGGCGAGGACGCCTGGGCCAGCAGGGTGGCTAGAGTCTGCCCAGGCCAACCCACTGGCACGTGCGCCTGACCACCGTTCGTTTGACCACCTACTCTGAAGTGGAGCACTAGAGAGGCTCCCGTTGAAGAGACAGGTGATAACAGCCTCTTTCCTAGAGAAGCAATCTACTGCTTCCGTATCTATACTAGACAGGTGAAAAGCCAATTAAGTCCTGGGTGTGGAGAGAGCCACAGGCTAAGAGCTCATTGGCTGCCCACTAGCCGGAAAGGAATGGAACAGAAACGTGATAAATAAGTGACACTATTAAAGTTCATGATAAGAAAGTGCCAGGAGTTGACGTTGTCCATGTGGTCCCTTGCCCTGAGCTTGAATCAAATGGGCTCCCACTCCTGCAGACTGATGGGTTCAGTATGTGTTTTGGAACTCCTGAAAAAGGACGGCTGCCCCATCCAGGGCGATAGGCAGAGCCAAAGCCTGCTTTCACAGTACAAAAAGTCGCCCATGGGCAGGCCACACTGGCTCAGCTGCCAGAGATGGGGCCAGCGCCAGCTCCTGCCTAGACCTTCCTCCCATGGAGTCCTTAGAACCTGGAGGAGGCTCAGTCTGGGGAGTTTTGCGAACTGGGAGCCCCAGACGGCCGCAGCAGTTACTGGGGGGGAGCCCCCACCCAGACTGGATGAATCAAGGGCCTGGGTGTGAGCTGCAGACCAGCTGCTCAGGGTTTTCCACAGACGCACCCCTGCTGAGAGGGGTGAGACCCTGAGAAAGTCAGCCTTCCCTCGCAGCCCAAGAGCTAACCATGGGCTGGAACTGACTCATTTGTCAAATCAACTTGAATGCTCCAAGCACTTCCTTTCAGAATTGTTTTCCTTCCTGTAAAATATGTGTCCCTCTTTTTGGGGGGTCGGCCTCTACTCTATCACCCCACATACAGCAATGAAGTCCATCACAAGCTTGGAAAAGATAAAATGACAAGCCCAGACCCACATTTGTTTAAAAAAAAAAAGCAGAATTAAGATAAAAGGACTTTGTTAAGGAAATACAATTCTGTGGCAGCTCTTTCAAGGCCTATTAGGAACATTGGGAAAACAGATTTTTTTTTTTTATTAAAAAGATTTTTTTGGAAAAGCCCCAAACGTTGCACAACCCAGCCTACACTCTGTTAATGGATATTTCATTACCATCAGTTATAGATTTCTTGGGGTGTCCTATTGACACATAAGCTGTATTTTATCTTGTATGGTTACTGCTCTCATTACTGTCCTCTCTTCAGCCAACAGCTGTATCTGTCACCACTGACAACAGTTAACAACCACAATTATCTAATTAAACTGCTAACTGATTAAATGAATCAAGAAGATAATCTAATAGATAGTTCCTATTATTAGAATAATATAGATTATTGATTATTGCAATCCTAGGAGGTAACTTCTAGCATTATCCCCATTTTACAGATGAGAAAACTGAAGGTGGGAGGTTAATTAACTTGCACAAAGTCACACAAGTAACTGGTAAAACTTGGAGTCAAATCCTGGCAGTGCCCAGGTGTTCTTAACCACTGTTAATGGTTGGTTAACTTATTGAGTTAATTCACCAAACCAACCAACCCTTGGTGAACAGTTCCTAAGAGTCAAGTACTAAGGTAGATCCTGGGGATACATCAGGATGACAAATGGTCCGTGCCCTCGGGGGGTCCCCAGCCAACTGAACAGAAACTGACTTGGAAACAGGTGCTGACTTCAAACCAGACACTGTGAAGGCATAAGGACAAGTGAAGTGGTCACTATTGCGGATGAGAGGTCTTGGAAGTTTTGTGCCTACTTATCATCATCACATACTGAGCACTTACTATGTGCCAGGCACTGTGCTAAGTGCTTATCATTTATTAACTTTAGTGTTCACAAAAATTCAACACAACAAATGAGGCAGGAACTAATTATTATGACCCTTTAGGATGAGGAAACTGAGGCACAGACAAGATGAATGACTAGTACAAAGTCACGCAGCGGGCAAACTGGATGTGGAAAGATGAGCGGGTGCTGGTCAGGCCAGGGCCAGGGGCAGGGCCTTCCCACGTGGGGTCAGCACTGCAAAGGCTACGGTGTGTCTGGAGACTGCAAGCTGTGCAGTGTGGCTGGACCAGAGGCTGCAGGCTGCTCAGAGGGAGGTGACACTAGACCCAGTGCAGCTTTGTAGCCAAACTAACAAATACAGACTTTGTCCTGTAGGCAATGGTGATGCCATTTACCAAGAGAGGATGGCAGCGGGGACAGGCCTGGGGGAGAAGAGAAGTTCTGCGGTCAGGGTGAGTGTGAGGTCCCCAGGACATGCACCCACTAAGCAGTTATGCAGCTTGGGGCCTAAGAAGGGCTGGGCCGGAGCCCCAGCTGTGCAAGCCAAACCTGCAGAGAGATGAGGCCGTGAAGGAACGTGGGGCAGGATTTGCCGGGAAAAGAATGGCAGAGATTTCCAGCTGGGGCAGTTTGTTAAAATGCAGCTATCCAAGCCCCTCAACCTACTGGCTGAGAACCTGTGCTGCAGTGAGAAGGGAAGAGCACCCAGGACAGGGCCTGCGCGGGAACAGCCCCATGCAGCAGCTGGCAGAGCACGAGAAGCCGAGAAGCCGGCAGAACACTGAGACAACGATCCCTGGAGGTACGGGGAAGACCAGGAGGGACTACGAACCTGGAGGTCCAGGGAGGAGAGGTGTCAAGGGGGAGTGGCCAGCTCGTGTGAACTGCCACCTGGTAGTGGTGTGCACAGGAGGTCCCTGGCTAGGACAGAAGCCTGCTTAGAGGGAGTGGAAGAGGGAGGCTATTAGGGTGAGGGAACGGTGGCTAGAAGGAAGGCAGGAGATGGGAGCGACTTGGGCCACTGGAGAGGAGGCCCTGAAGGAGAAAGGGGGCATCCTCAAGGCAGAGGGGGGCAGGCTTCCCAGGGGAAGCAGGCACCTTGGGCAGGACTGGGGATTTTGGGGGGAGAAGAGCAGCTGTCTCATACTGGGGTAGAGTGGTCAGCACGGGCTCCCCTTCCATGCAAAGGCGTCACCAGGAATTTCAGCTGTGTAAGGGGCAGCAGTTACCATGGGAACACACAGGCCCAGGTTTGTACGGGCACAGAAGCAGATAAAATCTTCAGGGACTCATAAGTATGCTGGGCCTGGGCAGATATCTATTGGTCCAACAGCGATCCTCTCAGCCACACCCTGCAAACATTATCAGAACCAGCATTTTTTAAAAAATAT